GTTACGGACTCGTGTATTGAACAGGGTGCTCGTGTGGGAAATGAAAAGCAGTTGGTCCTCCATGTCGAAATCATCAAAAATCTTAAACATGGGGTAAGCCCAACGTGTGTGGCACCGTTCATTGCACAAAATCGGGTTTTGGAGGAGATTTTAGTGATCCTTAGTGGGGTACTCCTACAAGGTGAAGCTAAGTTGTCTCTAGTACAAATAAAATTTCCACCCGTTGAACGGTTTGCCTACTTGAGGATGTGTTTTTAAGGGCATGGACAGAGCTTCCGACCACCCTTAATTTCATTGAACCTCCACACGAGTTGAGGGAAAGGAGTTAAAAGAAGTACTCTGGCGATCGTCAGATATACAGAAATTGCTCTTGCTCGACTAATAAGGGTCGACCGTGCAAAACACTGCAGTTGGAACCCCACCAAATGAAAGAAAAAAAAATGTAAATGAAAGTGAGAAAAAGGGGTTTCAACGGTGAAATGAAGTGAAAGAGCACCCCGGTACAACGAGTCCTTGGTTGTGAATGGTGTGAGTCCCTTTATCCATGAACTGGCTGTCTTACTTCCACTTCTTCTCATGATCCTGGCCATTGAGAGAGATAGGGGACGTCTTAGAAGACCAGTTGACCTCGTAAGCTGCTATAAGATCTAGGAAATCCTCTACCGACGATCGGGGTTGTTTGTTGCTATAGAGGTCTGGAGAGCTGCATTGGTTTGAGTTAGATTTGCTTGGGGATAAGCAAACGGTTAAGTGTGGGGGAATTTGATAACATCGGATTTGCACATGTTTGCACCCTCGTTTCTTGATCATTTTGGCTTGAGTTTCTGCTTTCTTGGACTATTTTACGCTAGGTTGTGTTCGTTTGTCACATTTCAGGCCCTAGCACATAAAGTGAAGCGTAGGCGCAAGTTTCAAGTCAATCGGAGATCATTTGGCAATTCGGGAGAAGAAACACGAGCATGACCTGAGGAATAATGGATTTCTACCTCATATTATGGACAAATTATCATGGAAGTTTGTTATGAAAAGAAAGAGGACGAAACTACGAGCGTCTAGGTTCAAACGGCGACTAATTTGGAGTCCGGACGAGGGAGAAACGAAGCTTTGAACAGGAGCGGAGGAAGAATTACGGGCAGGAGAATTACGACCGTATTTTCACCTCCCATGCCCGTATTTTCACTGCCGAGAGGAGCTTTGGGTTTTGGGTGCGCTGAAACATAACCAAAACGCACCAAAGGTAATATAGCCTAACGGTAAAGCTGCCGCAACAGTGAAGGCTTGGGAGTTGCAGATCCCAGGTTCGAATCCAAGCGAGGCCCGTTGGTGTTCCCGGAGGTACAAGGCTGCTGGGGGCGAAGCCCCGTTGGCGTCAAATTAAATGCAGGTGGCCCCCAGGTTTAGTAGGACCCGCTGTCACAAAGTGGCACGTGGGACTGAGGTTCCTGGGTATAAAAAAAAAAAAAAAAAACTTAACCAAAACGCGTATTTTGGGCAAAATACGGGCATGGAAGAATTACGGCCGTAATTCAGCCCGTAATTCGCCCAGAATCGGGTTTTTGAGGCAGATTAAGGCCATAGGAAAGGGGGAGCTGGGTTTTGGTTCACAAACACCCAAGGGACGAACCCTAGAGAGAGAGCGACTTGGGAACATTCTTGGAGCTATTTTGGAGGATTTCTTCGCCATTGGAGCTCGGGAATCAAGCTTGGGGATGAAGATTGAAGATCTAGATCAGATTTCTACAGTCTCTCTCTTCTCTATGGAGTAACTTCCCTTCACTTAGGTTTTGAGGAACCCTAGTTCCATGTGTTAGGATCTTTCTTGTATGAAGTTTTGGATGCTATATTGTTTGATTATAATCGATTGAGGCATGATTTATTGAGTCAATTGAATCTTGATCAAATTCTCTTGATTTCTGCTTTAACCTATGATAGATAGAATCTGATTAGGTTAAGAGAGCTTCCTTGATTGATAGTGGTGAATTGGTTATACGAGAGTTAGTCAATCTACTGCTTTGTACTGGAATCCAATTCCGGTAGTGGAGTTCTATGTTCATAACCTCAGCTTTCTATCCCGGTGAAGGTTAGTCGCCTGCCGGGTAGTTGGACTGAGAGGGCTTGGTCAGCTTAAGAGATTCCAAGCTATTGTCGGATCTTCCGCAGTTTAATCAACAGTAGATCAACCAAATGTAATTGCAACTTGGACCTAATTGAGGAGTTAGGGGGAATCATACCTAAGTGAGTTCACAACTTGTGATTAGTAGAGTAGTCAGTAAAGTAGTTTTTAAATCGATCCTTAATCTTGCTAGATAATGAACTGAAGCTGAGTAATAGTAACTCTAGAGACCCGTGGATTCGATATTTATTACTTGTGCCACTATACTGCAGTCTCTTTCATTGGTTACACTTGGCCATTGTTCGGTGTTGTGTTTTAGCGTGTCAATTTACAAATTTAGTACATAATTTTTTTGCATTTAAGTCCTCAAAATATCGATGTAAAATTACATTTTGGCACCTAATTTTTTTTTATCTTACATTTTGATATCTAAACTTTTTAAGTTTTACAAATAGGTCCAATTTTTGTATGAGTACTTAAAACACCATCTCTTTTTGTAGACGTTATTGTGTCTCATTATTATGGGTGGCAGAATGGTTTTCGGTTAGAATTTAATCGGACGGTTTTGACCCAACCGACTGGTTTTCGGCTAACCAAAAACTGGTCTCTTTTGCCAGCGGTCGGTCGTCGGAGGAGACGGGAAGAGGTTCGGCTATCCGAGTAACCAAGGGTGGAAACCGGCGGTTAACCGGGTAACCGATCTCTTCCCCTTTCCTCCAAAACAACCCCGCACCACTAACCCACCACCATCCTTGAAACAACCACAAAAGCCCAAAACAACACTCTCCCCCCTATGACCTAACCCTAACTTTCTCCCCATCTCTCCCTCTCACGCAGACAAAACCCTCCACCACTTCCCCTTCTCGCGGCTCGCGCAGCGCCGCAGACCACCAGAACTGTCGCCGCCGACTTGTCCTCCTCCCTCCCCGCCGGCGCCAGGCCCCACCCTAAAACGACCCCAAAGTCGACCCATCTCTCTTCTCTCCCACGCCACCAGATCCACCAGAGAACAAAAACCTCTCCCGACCCCCCGCAGGCCTCCGCCTCCGCTCGCACTCTCCCCTGACCTTCGCATCTCTCCCCCGGCATTCACCGTCACTGAAAACGACCCCCCACCCCCTGCGACCCCCACCGCCTGCAGATCTGTCCAGTGGCCTCTCTGTTCGTCTCTGCAGATCAGTTCATCCATGGAGAAAGAAGGAGAGAGAAGGAGAAGTGGTTTGGTGGGTGTGAAATGTGGAGGAAGGAAGGAGAGAGAAGAGAAGTGGTCTAGTGGGTTGGTGGAGGAAGGAAGGAGAGAGAAGGAGATAAGGATTGAGTGGCGGAGAAGTTTGTTTTTTTTTAAATTAATTTTAGTGTTTTTTTTAGAGAAGATAGGTTTTTTCGGTTGGCTGGCTAAGCGAGCCTAAAACCGAAACTGATCGGTCGGTTGGCCGGCTAACCGTGACTTCCCTCGCGGTCGGTGGTCGACAGCTATAGGGGGTGGCTAGATTTAACCGATAACCGAGTTTTCAGATTTTGATTAAACCGAAACCGACCGATTTATATCTTGAAAATATCCTCGTATTCCATTGAACATTGCCTTCAATCATATGCAATTATGGTATTGTTATTGTTAATATCGGATTCAATCTTAACTCTAAGAGTTTAACTCCAAACATTGATGTTGTTAATTTGTTATGAATTAATTCTTAATTCGAATGCAAAATCAATAAGAAATTTCGGCATTGTTCAACAAACCAATTAATACATCGAACCATAAGATACGTCTCACAATTCAAATATGCAATGAATATTTAGCCATGATATACAAAGTCTCAAAACACATCTAATTGAAAGATATGTAGTCTAACCAACATACGAGTTTATATCTAACTGTAAGTTGATAGATATGTAATCTAACCAACCTCCAACTTATGTGACTAATAGTAGGTGAGTCGAAGAGTTATGTAATGCACAGCTAATTGAGTTGCAGGTTTGCGATCCATACCACCACGTTGACTTATAAGGTTAAATTGACTTAAGTTTCAAGCCACAACATCGAGCTATCTCGTGAGTTTTCATCGAGCTCTCTCGCAAACCACACTATGGAGCTAGCCCACGCGACTAGCTCAACGAGTCAAGCCGGCTCGTGACCCTAACCGAGTTGAAGAGGCTCTGACTTGTACTCAGCTCATTAACAAACAAGCTGACTCACGAGCCAACTCATTAAAATTCGAGCCGAGTATTGAACGCTTTTTCTCGAGTAAATCCGGGAACAACTTGACTCATTTGCGGCCCTAATTTTGGGTGACTTTCAAGTGAAAGTATTCCTTTTAGAGTTATAGGACTTTTCCCAAGATCTCCGATTCGACCGGTTCAAAGATGGATCTTCCGGTGAATGTGTTCCTTTTTAGTTTCTTGTATAATGTTATCAAAATAAAACTATTCAATTTAATAATATAGAAGATACACGGTTTATCGATTTACAAGTCATGTATTTTCTTCGTCTTTTCACCTTATGTGACTAATATGTTGTATTTTTCCTCTGCCACTGCTGCTGTACAAAATCACACAATTTGCTTTCCCTTGAGGAATTACTGGACAAACGCCAATCTCTCCCCCAGGATAGAAAAAACAACTCTCAATTATCATCCAACCCCTTCCATCATTAACCAATTCTTCCTTCCTTCACGAAAAAAAATAATAAAATAATAATATTTTCTCCACTCATAATATTTTCACCACCCTTTTCTCACTGCCGGCGATCTTTTCTCCCGCCGGAAAATCTCCCGTTCCTCTGTTTGCCCAGATTACCAACATTTCCCGATTTCCGGGAAACAGAGGAAGGTGACGGGAAAGGGAAACTCCTTCGAACATCCATCGTTTAATCATATTATTATCGTCCATGGAGATAAGAAGCATGCAACAAAACATTCATCCCGGAGAAGGCTCCGGCCAAAGCAGCAACATCGCCGGTAGGCGGACCCTGTTCGGCAAATACGAGATGCAGAGGTTCCTCGGGAGAGGCAACTTCGCCAAGGTATTCAAGGCCACGAACATCACCACGGGCGAGAGCGTGGCCGTGAAAGTGATGAAGAAGGAACAGCTGATGAAGACGGAAGGCCTGGCGGAGCACGTCGAGCGAGAGATCGCGGTGATGCACCGGATCAAGCACCCAAACGTCGTCGAATTGAAGGAAGTGATGGCCACCAAGTCCAAAATCTTCTTCGTCATGGAGTACGTCAGGGGCGGCGAGCTGTTCGCCAAGGTCGAAAAGGGGAAACTCGATGAGGACCTCGCCCGCCGTTATTTCCAGCAATTGATCAGCGCAATCGATTACTGCCACAGCCGGGGAGTCTCCCATCGGGATCTGAAGCCGGAGAATCTTCTGTTGGACGAGAACGGGAATCTCAAGATCTCCGATTTCGGACTCTCCGCGCTCCCGGGTCAGCGCTGGAACGACGGGTTGCTCCATACCCAGTGTGGGACCCCTGCCTACGTGGCGCCGGAGGTTCTCCGGAAGAAAGGGTACGACGGGGCGAAAGCCGATATTTGGTCCTGTGGGGTAATCCTCTTCGTCTTGCTCTCCGGCTATTTGCCCTTTCTCCACGAGAATCTGATGAAGATGTATGTGAAGATTTTCAAGGCCGATTACAAGATCCCCAATTGGATTTCGAAAGACGCTAGGGATTTGATTTCCAGGCTTCTGGTGGTGGACACCAAGAGGCGAATTTCGATTCCGGAGATTATGGAGAATCGGTGGTTCAAGGTCGGGCTAACGAAGCCGGTGGCGATCCCGGCCGCGTTCCCCGAGGAGGAAGGGGAAAGGGGATCGTCATCGTCGGCGCCGCACTCGCCGCCGTTTTTCAACGCGTTTGATTTGATATCGTCGATGTCGTCGGGATTCGATCTGTCGAATCTGTTCGAGGAGAAGAAGAAGCCGGGGTCGATGTTCACGGCGAAGTGCGGGGTGCCGGTGATCATGTCGAAGCTGGAGACGGTGGCGAAGCAGTCGAATTTCAGGGTGGTGAGCGACGACGACTACAAGGTGAAGATACAGGGGAAGGCAGAAGGGAGGAAAGGGGTGCTGGCGGTGACGGCGGAGGTGTTCGAGGTGGCGCCGGAGGTGGCGGTGGTGGAGTTCTCGAAGAGGTCCGGGGACACGCTGGAGTACGATAAGTTCTGCGAGAAGGACGTGAAGCCGGCGCTGAAGGACGTGGTGTGGACTTGGCAGGGTGAAAGCAGCGATGATGAATGTCGCTAATTATGAAAGGAATGAATTAATCTTCTCACTGCACGTTTTAGATTTGTTGGTAATATGCTTAATCACTTGCTTAGGGGTATTGCGTGCCGCTCTACCACTCCTTGTGTTAAAGAGCTTTGCTAATCATTCTCAATTAGGCAAATATTAAATATTGTTTCCATATGGTTTCTCACCTTGATAATATGTGGTTATTGGTTAATCTTATTGTGTAAAGAATATTGTATAAGTGAGATTAATTAATTAATGTGTAGAATAACTTGTACCTCGTCTACTGTGCTACGAAGAACTAGTGTTTCGAGCAACAAGTTGAATTTGTACAATAACGTTAAAAGTACATATTCAGTTTGTAACATAAAGATTTTAAGGAAAGGATGTGCAACTTGAATTTTAACCATAATGATAAATGTACAAATTCATTTTGCAACATAAAGGTTTTTGTACGAGCAGGAATATCCGTATATGCATAAGTTGAATTAGCAACGTAACGTTAATGATAAAAATTCAATTTGATTGAATGGTGATCATATTATTTACCAACTCCATTGGAAATGTTGGTTTCGCGTAATCAATGCACCCTGACTTCAAGAATATGGAAAATGATGTTACTCGGTTCACACCTCTTCAAATACTGTTCGAACGAGGGTGTTCGATGCATACATCAAAGGAAGTGGCTACTTTTACGTCTACTCCTATGGAGATTCCTTGAGAGCTCCGCAACTACTGACTACAACTAAACAGAGAAGCCTCGTTGGAGGGTCCCTGGTGCTACTGCTACGGTTACTGTTCTAGAGAGAAAAGGTAAATTTGGACGAGACTTGTTGTCGTTTTATTTTGTCAGTCCTCCCTCCAGAACCTTGCTACCGGTTTTGTTGTGCCTCCTCCTCTAACCGCCTTCTCTCTCTTCCCGAAAATGAGCTCCACGTAGCATCCAGTAACTTCCCCGAGCGTTCTTTGCAAGTCAAGTGCTGCTTCTGGTAACCACCTTGACACGTCATCATGTCACTTGACCATTGGACGGTCACCGTACACAAAACAAATTGGACGGTATCCATGTTGACTAAGACAACAATCTATGGATGGTACGTATATTAAATGGTCACCATACCCTAGCATCATCCATTAGGGTTGGACGGTATCCATGACGTTGGACACTACCATCCATCCATTATGGATTTTGGATGGTATCCATGTATTTGGACACTACCATCCATTATGGATTTTGGATGGTATCCATGTATTAGGACACAACCATCCATTATAGGATTTTGGATGGTATCCATATTGGACACTACCATCCATTATTCCTATGGCCTAACTTGATAAATTGGACCATTCATGTACACATGGACCAACTATTTAAATTGGCCAAGCTGTTCACACAAGCAATAATTAATGAAAATTATTTTGATGTAAACACATACCGTGGAGTCTGTGGAAGGCATGTAACACTCTCGTTCAATAGAGAGATGGAAATCTCCCAAATTTTGGAGTTCTACGAATGAGTTGGCTCCTTCAAAATGAAGCTCACGCAAATACTAAGCAACCTCATATTAGCCTAGTGAAATGTTATACATATACAAGCATTTGTTTTTTTTATGTGTTTTAAGCTGTAAATAACATGGTTTGGGTTTGAATTGAACATGGAATGACCGTCATTATAAAGTTTGTGTTGTGTTTCAGTGTTTGTACTATTTTTAATGCTACTTCTAAAAAAAAAATGTTTGCATAGAGTGAGAGACACAAGTGAATTGCAAAGGGAACAATAGAAATTTGTAGAGACGTATACAAAAAATAAGTCCAACAAAGAACCAACCCAAAGCAATTGGGTTGGTTTTCTAGCCCAATATGATGGACACAATAGTAAAAACAATGCGGAGGCTCGGGTTTTGGTCCATCGCAAATGGATTGCAAAGGCTAGGGTTGGAAGTTTGGTAGTGGTATTAAGATATACTAAATACCATACCAAACATGTCAATATTTGGTATTACTGAATACACGTATTATTTCACGAGATTGAGATTGGGATTGAATTTCAAGTGTTATTTGATACTAGTTATTACGAGATTGAGATCGGCATATACTGAAATATAAACTAGCATGTATTTTATCCCTCCCAACTAGACTTCCTCACTCACTACTACTAGACCCTCAACCGTAAAGATGGTCACTTACTTATAAATAGCTCTTTCCCTCACTATTTGACAATTCATACTAAGCTCACTAATCTCATTTTCTTACTTGAAGTATATTTATGGGTTGTTTAGTCATTCCCTGTCTGAGTTTGTTGTTTTAATTTGTTAATGTGCTTCTTAGGCATCACATTTTTCTAATTTTTTATTATAATTAAGAATCTTTCTCATTTGTTTTGCACCAAGTGTTGACACCATTGTTTGTTTTTATATATTTGGAGAATGGTTTGTGGAGCAACTAGCAAAGGAGAACTATTTGCATTTGTGTATTTGATTTATAAATTTGAAGCGCATATTTTGATATTTAGTATATGCCAATATTGAATAAAATATTAGAAATTGAGATTGAGATTGAATAGTACACTATTTAGTATTTGAGATTTCGATATTTAATATTGAATACCGAAACCGTACCGATTTTCACCCTTGAAGGGCAAAACAGAAATTTCGAGAGGCATAACAATGTGTACACTATTTAGTTGACGGACACAACAGAAAAACAGCTTGGAGGCACGGGTTTTGGTCAATTGCAATCGCCAATCACAGGCGTCCCCGGCCCAAAGGAAACTAAAAGGCCCATTTGTTGTCCTTTTCATATGGGACACGGAGAGAACGGAATAAGGGGAGACAATTAGGAGAATTAAGGGGACCAAGCAATTAATCCTACAAATCATATATGGAGATAATCCTACAATTTCAAAATGCATAGATGTTATTTGCATTTTAAAGAAATGCAATTTGTTTTAACATGTGTAATTGTTTCCACAAACATTTGTTGAAAGAAGTTAAACAGGTTGTAAGTGAACACATCTATAATATGTTATTATTCTAAAATTAAAACAAAATATTACCTGAATCATAGCCTATATTAAATCACGTCTAAAATTTTAAGTCGAATAATGCATTAGGATAGGGAAACCATGAGAACAAAATATCTTGATTTTCTCACCAACATGCATGCTTAAATACGACACAAATATGTTTTTGGATATGAACACTTCTGACAGTAGTTGGAACACGGGATGGGTCGGGTTCTACGGGTTGCATAACCCAAAATCCGCACCCAACCCAGAATAGGCGGGTTGTACAAAATAAAACCATCACCCAACATTCTACCTTAATATTAGCGATAAATACGGGTGGTTGAACCGGGTTGGGCGAATGGGTCGGTTTGAGGGTCTTTTTGTTCACCCCTAACTAGCGGGCGGACAAATGTCTTTTCGGCGCGGAGCAGAAGCAAGTCTCGGTGAAGCAGTTACACGTCACAAAACGAGCTTTGCGCGACGGAAACCCTCCCTTCGTCAAGAAGAACTTTGGGATTAATTCAGGGGATCATCCGGATTAGAGAAACTAGTTATTTTATGCGAAATTATTTCTTTTATTTCTTGAATTTTGTCTGTGTTTGTGAAATCTTATCGGTTGTTCAACAATAAAAAAACCTCCTACCGGAGTCTAAACCAATAGGCAGGTTTAGCGTTATGAAATGGTTTAATCATGTTTAAACCAAGGTTTTAGTACATAATATCCTACCTGACTTTTTCAGTACAACATCATGTACTATTTCACAGTCTTTGCATTTTACGTTCGTTGAATTGTAATTATCTGTTAGTTTGTTTTCATGGTTATGAACTAAACTCCAACTTTTTGGGGAAAAACGTAGAATGTAGCTATAAGATTTCTATGATTTGATTCATACAATTTTTCTTTCTCATTCATATTGTGTGTGGATCTTTAATACTTTGTATAGACGGGTCACATATATACTGAATTGTTGTTCTAGGTTGAGACCGAAATGAGATACCTAGGATAGAACACTCTTACATACTTTATAGCACCCAATTGAGCACGAGAGTGGAAAGCGAGAGTTGTTTGATCATTAGAGGGGTTATCGGACTTCAAACTAGGTAGTTAAGAGTAAACAATTAAGTGACCAGTTAGTACATAGTGATTCTTCAAAGAGATAACTGTCACTTTAGAGAGAATTTCAGTCATAACTAAATTGATTAATAGACGAATTGAATTAGGTACTTTGATAATGAATTTCATATTTTCTTTCTGTACATTTTCTAGTTTTGTTATTCATTTTTATTTTGTTTTCTATCAATCCATTTTTGTTTCATTAAAGAAATTTTTTCTTAATTTCAATTGATAAATCTAGAGTTGTACTAATTGAGATAATATAACTTATCGCCTTAGAGTTAGAGGGGTCGACGCTTTCCAATGGAAATTGGTTAGGCACCATGTGCATGGTCTCATTGACCTCTTAACAGTTATAGATTTATCTCTTTTGAGCCATGCATGATCTCCATAAATAAATTGCTTCCCACTATAGGAGCTATACACACCTATAATTTTCCTTGTCCATCGAAATGGGCGGTGTATATTGATGGGGTTTGGGCCTGTGGCTTGGAGATAAATAATTCTCAAAAGACCCCAACATCTCACATTCACGACCACTCCAAATTGATCCCACCAAATTAAATCAGCGGTTCAGCTGAAACCTCCAATACTCACCATCCATTCCCGTAATTGGCCTATCTACAACAATATACAGGAAGGGAGTAGAGGCGTAAGCTTTCAGCATCAGATTTAGGCCACCCATTATTTGTTGCCACCATTCTTTTTGGACGATAAACAAACAAAATGTTACTCACCTTACATTAAACAAATTATTCGAGTTATCTCGGTGGACAGCATGATTTTAACAAAGGGGTGGTAATCAATTTGTCGGTTAACGGTATAACCAGAACCAGTTACCAAACCGGTAATCATACCCATGCATGACTGGGATCCAAACTACAATGTCAGGCC